ATTGTTAAAACCCTTGAGTTCTTTCACAGTCGTCTTTGTCTATCTTTCTTACTTTGATCCTTTCAATATATCCTCACATGGCATTGTTTAACAGCCCTCATACAGGTCAAAAAAACCCCTAAGAATACTTTTTTTTCTTGTTTGTTGTCTTTTTTTTTTTTTTACACAGCCATCACAGAATAAATTAATCATCCATGAACACTTGCTAAGCACCACTATGTCACGTTCACTTGGACTTCACCTTTTTCCTTCACAGAAGCAAATGAACAGAGAATACATGTATACACTTGAATAGAGAAAAGTAAACAGCTCAAGTATTCTGTTCAATCATCCATATAAAAAAAGAAAAGCAGTCAAAAAAATGAAATTCTTCACATCAGGCACCTCATTTTTTGTTTTTAGAAGTGCTCAAGAGAAAAATCAGAATCAAAAAATTAATGTCAGATCAAAAGAAGTGGTGATGGACCTGAAACAAATTGCAATGCACTTGAAATATTCATTTCTGGAATGTTTTTTTCTCTTTTTCAGAACTGCCAACAAACTGAACAACAATCTGTTCCTTACAATCTATTGTGCTCTTAAATTTTGTTATAGTAGCACATAAAATTGCAAGTGTCTTAATCAATCAAAAGTGACTTCTTAAGGAGTTTTATTCCTTGATGATAAGTTTACCTCTACTGAGAGGTGGCTAAAGTAATTTTATATCTTTTATATTTGATTTGTTTCTCTTTGACTCTGTAGTTTAGTTTATTTAACATGGGGCTAACTCCAGCTTATTGTTTTTACATAAAATTACATCAGGAGGAATAACATATTTAATCAGGAGAAAATACTGAATATTTACCACAAAACCAAATATGTCTTCCTGCAGTTGGATGATTCTTTTGTTTATTCATCCCACATCACCACCATGTTTGAATGAATCAGCTTTTTTTGATATCTCCTTGTCACAGGTGTGCAGATGAATAGCCTAAAAGACCTTTCTCTTTCCACTCTCAACAAAAATCTAAAATAAAAAAATCTTCCTAGAAACTGTTTAAAAATATTAAGCCTACAACAAAAGACATTTTTTCTGAGAACTTGTCATAGATTCCTATTCCTTGGACTGATATGATCCACATACTTTTTAGGTTTTATGAAAACTTCTGACCCTCGAGGATAAATGCCATCCTCAGCAAGTGTGGATGAGCTCAGTACTGTTGGAAGGTTTTTCAATGGCAGACCATTGAAAACCCTTGAATCAAAATGTTCTTTTCTGATGAAGTGATTTCTTTGTGGCTGCTTTGTACTCTGTTTTGTTCTGCGCTCTCTCTGCACGCAGGAGGAGTTCCCTCAAGGTGACCTTCCCTCATCCAGTGCCCATGGGAACAGATCTCCAGCCACCAGCAGCACCACGGAACTTGCACAATTGCAAGCATCAGGAGGGAAGATGGAAATCAACAGTTCCCTTTATCCACTAGTGTCCTAGGGTGACGTTATGATGCTTGTATCCCCATTTCTGTGTTCCGTTTATGCTGGATATTATGTTCTGTGTCTTCAAGGCTGGCTCTGAAGAGTGAAAGTTTTGTTTTTGTTTTAGTTTTGGTTTTGTTATCATCCTGGTCCCCCACAGTTGGTGGGACACAGAGACAAGGCAGTACATAGTGCTGCTTTTGCTTTTTGCTTGGCTTTTTGCTTTGCTCTTGTTTTGCTCCTGTATTTTGCTCCTGCTCATTAGTTAGCTTAACTAAGCAGTCTGAATTTTTTCCTGGACTATTTCTCCTTTCCCTTTTTTGGAACCACTTGAACCTGCTCCAGACTGGGACCTGGGAACCCCGAGAGTTTGCACTTTGACTCTGCAGCAGCTGCCCCAGCACCAGAGGGACTGATAACACAGCAACCACCCCCAAGAGAGACTTTCTGAATTTGTTGTCTTTTTCAGAGCAGTGAAAGAGTGGTGTCATCTGGAATTGCTCATTTCGTGTGCTGGGGAGTGCTGTGCCTGTTAAATAAACAGGGTATTTCCACTTGTCTCCAAGGAATCCTTCCCAAACTGGTTGAGAGGAGGGGAGTTGTGGGTTTGCTTTCTGGAGGGGCCCCCTTTGGAGGCTTTCTCCCAAATTTGCCCTAAACCAGGACAACTGGGTAAGTGGGTAAAGGGAAATGTGCACAAGGCTGAAGAGTGCACACAGCTGAAGAGCAGACCTGCTAAACCAAACTAAGCACCTCCTTCCCTGAATCCTTGCTAACCACATAATCTACTTTCATTCACAGGTCACTTGCTCCCTGCAATCCACTAAAGCAAAGCTGGTCAAGGTAGCTTGGAGCAAGGCAAAGGAGGAGCAGTTCTTGCCGTTGTCCCCACATCTTGGCATCTATCTTGTTCAGAAAGCATGGAGCAATGCTGAAGCAGACCCCAGTACTCAGGCACAGATCCACAGGGGCTCTCATAATGACTTTTCTTTTTTCTTTTTTTTTTCTTTTTTAATTTCCTCTGGGTATAACTGGTTACAATTAAGCCAAAAGGTATTTTACTTTCACTGATCCTCTCAGTGGAAGGTACGTTTATATCAAGAGATCACTTTGTATTCTTAAAATTAACAATCTGTCTAATCATGTTCTAGGGCTTTACAAATCCTTCATGCATACAATTTGTCATTAGCCATTAATTTCACTACCATTGGCACGCTAAAGCTCTGAAGAATTATACCAGGAATAGATAAGAAACAATATCACTGCAATAGGAGGAAATCCCCAGGCTCACCAGCCTCCAGAGGCAGGGCTTCAGGTTCCTCATTTTACCATCACACAGCTACACAGAGAACAATTACCTTGGTAAAACCAATGCCAAAAAAAGCATGAAATTTCATCCCACCAGAGAAACAGAGGTCTTATTTTTCTCAGGGCTAATTTTACACCTTCCTAAGTTTAAAAACTTCTGTCACTAAAACAAGAACAAATCTAAAATAAATGAAATATTTTGTATATATTACCCCTTTTCAGACTGCCTTGCATTTAAGCTGGAGGGCTCAGAAATATTTCCTGTCCTTCCATTGGATTAAGACTAGAAAAGTTCTCCTGATGCTTCAAAGGATATTTTAGTCTCAAATCAGTGGAAGAAAAGCAAAGGCTGTGTTGTGCAAAGGTACACTTAGAACAAAGACAGTGAAAAAAAATTAGTGTTCTTACAAAGCTATTACATTTTAATTTTAATTTTAAAAAGAACTTGACCAACTGCTTTTGAGTGCTGTCCTTAGACTCGAAAAGCTGAATCCTTCATGTGATTATCACTGGGATTTTTGATGTGCAAATCTAGAACAATCCTAGAACTATTGAATTATTCGAAGGTCTGATTTAATTCCGCGTTATATTTTTGAGGCCTACAGGGCTGTGTCAAGTCCAGACTGTCTTTGCACAAGGGAAAAGTTGTGCTTGTACAGTACAAAGGATATGTAAGTTCCTGTCATTTTCCATCTTTCTGCTCCAGACCCACACATATACTTTGTTTCTTCTCTATGGGCTACTAATCAGAGATAAATTCCTGTGAAAGATGATGTTAGAAAGACATCAATTAATACAAAGCCTAAAATCCCAATCCAAAATGATTGGTAGCAATTAAAAGGGTTCCAAAATGGTGCTGGAGACTATGCCACCACAAACTTTATTGCATCTGACAATGTAACATAAATGTCTGCACAGCTATAACAACAGGACAGGATCTGTCACATCTAAATATTTAATAAAATAGTACTCTAATCAATGTCCTAGCATCCTACACATAGGAAGTCTTCCCTCATTGCTGTGGTGATGAACTTATACCATGAAACTAGAAACCTAATTACACTTGCTTGTGACCACAGAATGTAATTATAACTATCACCAGCCAAAATAATTGGACAGTCTTCTTACTGAGTGGAGATGCTTGGATAGGAAGGAATTCAGAAATTGAACCACTAGCTTAATCAGAGATGAAAAAGGAAAAGAGAAACAGCATTTGGAATATTGGGGAACATTGGCAGAAGCATGCATTGAAGAAGAAGTGAAAAACAGAGAATTTAATTTTTTAATCTAACATCAGCATTGATATTAGCATTTAGATATCAATTCAGAGAGAAAGCAGAATATATTATAAAGAATCCTTTCTCAGTTGCATTACTATGTCTGGATGGATAAATCTTAAGAGAACGTGAATTTGGCTAAGGACAGTGTGAGACAGTCTGGTGACAATAAAAGCAAAAAGAGGAAACATATGGGGGAAAAGAAATACAAAATAACCCAAAAAAACCCAAAAAAGAACAGAAACAAGGGAAGGCTACCACCCTTCTTGCCTTTAGTCAGCTCCAAAATACTGTCAGCTCTCCACCCCCAAATATGTGTTAGACTGTTTCCTAGCAAAGCACAAGGCCCTGCTGTACAAGCAGCAGGAACAAGGTGACAGCAGAGAGGCAGAAACAGAAGCAGGACAAGAGCCCCCACGGCAGCAGCAGTGGTTTTATGGTTTTAGCACCTGCTGCATCTTCTCACCAAACACAAAGGAATAGGGGAAAAAATAAAAACCACCTAACATTTTTTTTATTCTTGGCAGATGAATCCTTTAATTCAGCACCTGCTGCCCAATTCTAGTAGCAGTGTGCAACATCCGTGGATGCATTGCAGGAGGCCAGTGAGGAAACCATGGAGTCTCTTGCACCAGGAGCTTCTGCTTAGCAAAAGGAAGTAATAAATCCCCAGCGGTCCCCCATGGTTTGGAAGCAGCCACAGACAATCTTCTACATAGCATCCCTGACTCAACTAAAACATCAGATTGTGTCATTGCTGCTGATCCAGGCACAGCAACAGCACTTTGCTGGGAGGCTGGGGACAGAAAAGCAAAGAGGACATCATGGGAGATCAAGGCCTGACCTGTTCCTCCTCCTGTTGCTTTGGATATAGGAGGAACAGGGCCAGAAGTTGTCTGGTGGGAAATGAAGAATAACAGCAGCAAGTCAGAGAGTTAGGAAGAGAGAGAACTTGTCTCTTACCTGTCTTCTAGATTCAGGTAACTTTTATACCTAAATTTTAAAGGTGTGCTCTGGTAGAGTCACTCTGAGCATCAATGTAACACATGGCTTGGAGCAGCTCCCATGCATGAAGCATTCACAGAAAATGGAAATGACCAGGCCTCCAGGGCAGATGTGAAGTAATCTCTGTGGCTGATTCTGTCACTGCCAGCAAAAGGGTCCACAAGAGCAGTGGGGAAGGAACCAAAACAGACATTTGGCATTGGGCCATGATTTCTGAAGGCAGACACCTAAAAGGCAAACCATGAAAATAAGAAGAGAAAGCAGAAGAATCAAGCCTGAATACACCACAACATCAAACATGTTCATTCCTTTTGGAAAACTGCATAAGAACTAGAAACAGCAGAGACATTGAATGAACCTTATTCAAGAATTTTGAAATACTTACACATATCACATTCATATAAAAATGATCTTATGGAAAATAGGAAATACAAAACATCTGTAAAAGGCCTTTACCATTCAAATGTCAAGTTTGCTTTTGATCATTTCTAACATATTATTTATTTATTAACACAATTATACACTAGCAAATTATATGCAAGTAAGGAGAATTGGTAATATTTTCTGTTCACACGCTGCACTGAATCTACCTTTAGTCTGCAAAAACATACCCAGCAGGAAGATACTACAGTAGGAAGTGCAGCAGTACCATGGTTCTCTTTCACCCAGCCTGTTCTATGCACTGAAGGAGACAGCAGGCCTCAGAATACAAGGTACATGACCACAGAATTTTGTCACTGCAAACACACAAGTGAGAAAAATTTTGAAATTTAGGCTAAACCACTTTAAATAGCACAACTCTTGGAAAACTGGTCTCATAACCTAAAAAAAATTTGTATGCCATTATGTGCATATGCTTTCTCACTGCTCTTCACTTCTTTGGAAATGAAACTCTCTGCAGAGGATGCAAGATATGGTGATAGCGCATTACTCATCATCCCCTCTCTTTCCACTAAGCAGTTGGTTTAATTACAACTGAGCTGTGAGGAAGAGGAAAAAGAGGTATTTTTCCTGCCCTTTCAGCAAGCCAGATTAGGTCAGCAAGGGATCCAGGGAGCACAAGGGCTGCTGCAGGAAGGATGGGGGTAAATTGCACATCCCAGATGTAGATAGACAACTGATGATGTCCTAAACCATCAAAAAGCTCCAAAGCACACCCAGACTTATTGCTGGGGCCTTCTGCCAGAGGACTGTGCATGAACTACAATGCTGCAAGAGTGTTAAACACACACACCCCTGCCAGGGGAGGAACCTGGGCATTCCCACCTGAATGGGAACCTATATTAACCTGTAGATTTATATGTTTCATGGGCCTCCCTCATCCGAGACAGAGCAAGACTGCAACCATTGGTTCAACCAACAGACTTCAAAATGACAACCATTGGCTCATCACTCAGTCCAACAGGAGGTGGTGGTGTCTTTCCTCTCTGCTAGCCACTCTTTTCCTTCCTTTCTCTTTCTTTCCTCTATATATATATACCTATATATATATATACATATATAAATACACAAACACAGGTAATTCAGTGTTATTTCATTCTAATCTGCCCCTCAAGGGATCTATTAACCAACAACCTCAGCTACCCTCGCCTTCAGGAGTGGGTGATATCTTCCTCTCCCCAGTTCAGGAGTGGGTGATATCTTCCTCTCCCCAGTTCTTTATTTTCAAAGCTGGGAAAAGCTCCTGTTCCAGGCCAAGGATGTCATGTCACCAGGCTCCCTTTGAGAGGCAGATTCTGAGGGATATTCCTGCTGCAGAGTCTAGGCACAGCCAGGGAAACAGCTTGATTAGAGTAATTGAGCAGTAAAATGCTTCATGAGAGTCGAAGGTCTCTGAAAGCATGCAGGACAACAGAAACAGATTGAGAGCAGTGCTGTGTCCTTAAGCAGGAAGAAAAACAAAACCAAGATAAATTAATTTCTGATAGTAGCTGGTGCATAAAGCCTGCTCTGTCTTGTTTATCTCAATAGCTTTTCAAGCCAGGCAAGAGGTAAAAAACTATGCAGCAGAATTACAGGAATTTGAGTACTGCACACTATAAGAAAACTAATCATTTTGCAGGAGACACAAAGCAGATAAGAGCAAAACAGACACAAAATGTTATAGAGCTTAGAAGCCTGTCTCACAAGTGCAAAAGGGAGTGAGGAAAAGGGATGAGCAGGAGAAGCTCCCATCATGGCAGACCTGGCAGGGGAATCACTCTGAAACTCCAACTTTTAACACATGACCATATAACTGTAATTTGAGTAACAGAAGCCACAGAGGCTGTACTGAAGCTGGAGGAGGACTCTAAAATGGCATCCAATTAGACCTGAGCATGACAAGGCAAGTCAAACAAGCATGTCATATCTGGTACAATAAAGAGAATGAAGCCTGAGTTATTCCACTAGCTCCATCAGCACACATGGTGTGCTTAAAGAAATGCCAGATTGAAGAAACTTAACACTGCTATAATGGAAGTGGCTTGTGGCAAAGCCTTAAAGTAAAATGAAATGTTTTAGTTAATCCCAAATGTGTGGACAAGTACCACCAGCAGTAGCAGTGACACTGAAAGGGAAGGTAAGGGTGGGGAATAAAAGTTGGGGGGCAAGTGTGATGCTCTGCTAAGTCCTCCCATATGATAGAGTCTGTCTCTGCAGACATCTGTCATTTCATATATGCTCAAATATACCCAAACAATATGCAGCCTCCTTCTAATATTGAAGGGTAAGATAAATGGTCTGAGTAAGAAAGGCATGAGGCCACAAAAAAAACATAACAGAGAATTGCAGAATAGAAGAAGTAAAATATGAGAAAAGGTGAAATTACAAAAAAAAAAAAAGGTTACCAAGAAGTACACTGAGGCATGAGAACAAAACTAGTTCTCTCTGATTTATGCAGCAATTCAAGTTGCTGGTTTTTTTTCAGGCTTGGTCTCTGAAGAAGTTCAGTCCCCAGAGCAATAAAACATAGTTTTCAAAATCTGAGAAACAAAAGTGATTAAACTTTAGTTCCACCCTCACTACACAAGGCAAGCAACGTTTTGGGACAAAGATGGGGTAGGCAGCCACAAACATGCAGATCCATCCCAAGCAGCACCACCTGGAGAACAAGCACATTCTTTTTGAACAAAGGAAAGGCTGGGTTTCTCTGCCATGGTAACTTTACATTCTTTCCATCTCTCCTAAACAAGAGTTATATAGCACACAGGGGAATTACTGTTACAGGAGTAGATGCTTTAAAAAAAATCATGTTCTGGATGCCTCCAGTAAAAACAAATGCCTTATGTCACTTACAAACAGACACTAATAAAAGACTATATGCCCTGGTACAAAAACATATTTTGGGTAAGAAAGTGTACTTTGAACAGTTTTCTGTACTACTTCAAACAAAAGGTGCATTTGGATTGCTCAAGGACAAAGCTCTCAATGAAAGTCACAGACTGCAATACTTCTAAACACAATGTCCTCTGCAGGAGGGTGAGCCAAAGGAGCTTCTCCCTGAATGCCTGCAGCCTTCTTGCCACCTCTCCTCCTCTGTGCTTTCAGTAGGGAAAAAGACAAATAAAAGAACTGAGAAGTCAGAGCTAAAGGCTCCCTTGAAACAGAATTCTATTTTTTCAGCATGTACAGTACATGTCAGGAGCAAAGAGACCTTCAGCAAACTATGTACTGCCACTAAGCCATTCCTGGCCCAGAGCTGCCATAGATTTTGGTTAATATTAAGCTCCTCCTGTCAAAATAGCAACAGCAGCCACCATTTTCTGTCATGCCTCCCCAGCCATCTTGCAAATGCTTGCCAGGCAGAAGATTTTCTTCAAATTCCTTTGTGAGTCAAGTTGGGTGCAATATACCAGAACAAGGAACATAATTTCATTTGGAAAGGTTATTGGCTCTCTAATTTCTATTCTGAAAGCAGATAATGTTTCCATCTATCTTTAACCAGACATTTGGGATGATTTTCTCCCTCCCTCCCCTTTTTTTTTTTTTTTGGTGTTTTGTTTTGTTTTGTTTTATTTTAGTAATGACTTAATGTTGGCATGACTAACAATCATTTTTCCTCTAGTACTTTTGAATATATATCAGGAATATTGTGCAAGAAATGCTATTATTATGAGGAATAAGTATCTGTGGATGCCACAATAAAGGTAGAAAGGCATTCAGTCACAACTCACCCATTCTACTGTACAAAGTTTCCTAGGTTAAGATTTTTTTAAAAGCACACAGAATTAACACAACTTCTATTGTACAATTTGTATATGTGCTCACATAGAAATTGCTACTATTTATGCAGAAGTTTAATTGTTTCTGCCCTCTTATGAGTATAGAAGTCAAAGTTATTAGTATAAACAGATTAATGTGAATTCTATAAGCTATAGTATTTCAATAGCTGAGTCACCAGTTTTAATTAACACCAAATAGAGGTCAATCATGTGCATGAAGACTGTGTTCTTTGTCTGTTATTTATTTTCAGTCTAGAAAGAGTATGCACCAAGTTAGAAGAGTCTAGAAAACTTTAGCACTTAATAATCTTAGCTTTAAAAAGAGAGGACATTATACAGAAGCGACTGACATCTCCTGATTAAAAGAGTGAATTTGTTTTGCCCTATCCCTGATCTCATTCTACTTTTCTGGGAACTTCATACTTCTTCCTAGGGAACAAAATAGAAGGAAAGAGGAGGGGGAAAAGTAACAGCACCAGATGAAGATAATACGGACTTGAATTTTAATATATGTATGTCTACAGTATAATTCTTAAAAATGGCTGGCAATGATACAGTGACTCCAGCAGTCTTCTATAATTTCAGGAAGCCACAAATACCAGTGATTCACAATGACAAATATGTAATCACCTGTGAAGTGCATTCCTAGTTGACTTGTCCACATTTGCAGGTCTTACTCCCTAAGAAAAGGTTAAATTGGCTGATTCTGATATCTGTACTAAGAGCAGCTGCCTTCCAGGAACAGAGCACTTTAATCTTGTCAAGCATTGTGTTCTGCACCCATATGAATCCAATAACCAGTTACACACACTTGGTCCTGGCTTCAGTGTTGTCAGCATGAAGATAACACCCCTGCCTCTCCCCTCCAACTCAGCAGGATCACTTGGGCAAATCAGTCACCACTGAGCTCAGATGTGCCTTGATGAATTCCCAGCAGCAAGCAGAGGGCCAAGCTCTCTGCCACGTCTGCCATGTCTGCCATCATTCAAGTTAGCACCAGCGAATATTTGTGAGCCTGGGGAGTG